CAGGGACTGAAGTAAAAAAAACTTTTGAAAAAGGTCCTGTATAGAATCAGAATAATTGACTCTACAGAGGACAGTTTTAAAATGGTGTTTATTTCAGAGTGACTGTAATAAGAGGGAGAAAAAGACCTAAGCTGCAATTTCAGTGATTGAGCTTATCAAATGTGCAGTATACATGGTCATGCTGTACAGTCAGACGCATACGACATGAGTCATCTATTCAATACAAAAACACCATAAGATAATGGGGAAAAAAGGAGCAAAGTATAGGTATAAAATATGAGGTGTATAAAATGTGCAGGTATAAAATATTTACAATTAGAGATTGTAATTAAAATACACTACATTAATTCAAATCTTCTAGGCACCTAGGCGTGCATGGACTAATGACATTTTGAGTGACTGGTAGTTTGAGGACATGCTGTGCACCTACCAATACGCATGAGAGCAGATCTTCGCAGAGGACTTGTACTGGTCAATCCAGTGTTGTTTCGCGTCTTCCGACAACACCTGCAAACAACATGATCATTTAATAAAAAAAAAAAAGGTGCTGTAGGTAAGAGTCGAGAGTTGCCAAGAAAGCAGAAAAGAGAAGATTTTGAAACGACCCAAAAAAAAAGTGCCCTCCCCCTCTGCACCCCCCCCTCACTAGTCGCTATGTTTCTCCGCCATCGACAAGTGTTGCATTCCACACTCATGTGATTGACAGGCAAGACAGATTCCCCGAACCAGTCAGGGAATGGATAGCGTGATTGGTCAGAAATGAGCCGGGAGTGGTCTAAAATCTAAATTGGCTCATACGGAGGCGGGCGCAGTCAACTGGAAACTCAGCGCATTTCATTCACCAATACCTCACAGATGGCTGTGCCATTTTTAACAAATTATACTCAAATAATAGCCCTTAAATCTTACCTACAGCACCTTTAAAAAGGCTTTAGTGTTTACTATGGTGTCAGTTTAGGTGCAGAGTCAGAGCTTGAGGCGTTACCTTTTTGAACCTCTTCTTGATGTCAACATAGGTCTCCAGTTTGAGCTGCTTGCCGGTGTTGGGCCGGTACACCAGGAACAGCCTCTTCTTGGGGTTCACTTCCTTCACCAGTATGGCCGTCTTCCTGTTGTTGCGCACCTTCAGAAAGAACAAGATTCAACATTCAATTGAAAGGGTTTGTGTTTCCTAATAGCTCACCGTTAACACTAAATATTTAAGTTCGAGGAAAGAGTAGTTCCCAACCCTTATGGCTAATGAGGCTACACAAATAATGTATGCACAGGCATAACAATTCCAATTTTTGTCTTGAATTCTAAATACATGAAAACCAATTCATGATCTGGGATGCCTAAAAAAGCAACTTTGGTCAACACTGCCAACAGGGCACAGAGCTAGCAGACATACCTGCACGTAGAAGCCGTCGTCTGCCCCACTCTGGTCTGCCCACACATGGGTGGCCTCCTCCCATGACATCCCCCTCTCCACACTCACCTGATGAAAACAGTACACATTACATTAACATCAGCACATTAACATTACTACATGTACATTGGTACATAATAATCTGGGATCCAGCAGTCCCATTATGTACTGGGGGAGACGGCACAGAGCCTGGTCCGGAAACCCAAAACTTGTTACTTGGTAGTTACGCCTTGTTTCCCCATTTTGTTATGGAGATATTCTACCGAAGAGAACTCATTTGCACCAGTGGATGAAGCTTTCAGAAGGGGGTTTATAAGTATTTCTACAATGTCCAGTCAACACGGTGTTGATTCAGAACATTTAGAGAAACTTTTTTACTGTTTAGTACTGCTGCCCGAGTTTGTATTCGGCAATTAAGCGCTTACAGATCCTCGCCTCCAGCAAAATGATTGGTCGAAACAAATCGAAGAAAGAAAGCGAAACGCCCCGCCCGTATTAATCTAAAGTCTGATTTGCAACACTAGCGCCCAATGACAGTAGTAGAATATTGATAATACCCACATTACTACAGACACATTGGTAAAGTAATGCAATGCCAGTGAGATGCCTGCAACGATAAATACTTTACAGCTGACGTGGTGCCATAAGAAGTAAGGGACGTACGGTGTAGAGCTCCACGTGGCCTGATGTGGTGTAGCCAGGCGTCAGGAACTTCTTGCACTCCATCTTCTGCACCTTCTCATCACCCGAGCCCAGATCTAAAATACACAGGACAAAATAAAGGTAAAATGTGTTATTAGAGCAAATAAAGTTAGCGTCATATTAAAGACCCCTATATACACACACAAACCATACATATGACATCTAAGTGAAGTGAACTTGCATGTACATCAGATACAACAGGTGTGTCCATCTCTTACCCAGAATGCCCATGTCATATCGCCCATTCCTCTTGGCTTCCTGGATGACTGCCGCCAGTGTGTCGGCAAAGTACTGGAACAGAGCGTTCTGCTGCTGTACCTCCATGCCCAGAATACGGTTCAGGAATTTGCCGATGTTGTTGTAGTCTGGTAAAACACATGAGTATATCAATATTAATATGAATGAAGAATCACTGCACAAATTGTCTTCAAACAGTTCAGATCTCATTCTTCTGACGTACCTTTGTCAAGTGTCATCGCACCAGACCTATCTTCAAGATTTACGAGACCCACTCCTATTAAGCCACATTGAATTTCTATAGAGAAAACCAATGAACATTTAAAATTATTACATGCCTTCATCCAACTCAAATTACAGTAGAGGCGGAGAACAGCTCAAAACATATAATTACAAATACAAAAGTATGGTGTTTACAGAAAACAGACATGTTCAGAGTGAATTTACAAGTTAAGGGAAAATAAACGACCAGACCTTTGAAGAAATCCCCATCAAAATCTGAAGGTGGCGACACCAGCGGAGAGTCGAGTTTCACGATGGACTTCATGACAATTTCCAGAGCGTTCCTACCATACTGATGCACACATACAACAGTTCAAAGGTCAGTTGGCCATTGGTAATTACAGAGGTACTATTTTGGCTCCAGGGTCTATATTCTACCTTGTTGTCAAAGTTGTATCTGCTGAGGTCTCTGGTTTCAGTCGCCCTCCTGTCTCCATGTGTAAGAGCACCCTGTTATAAAAAGACAAGAATTAACCAATAGCCATAATTATCAGCCACAAATTATTAGGACGATTATCCATCTGAATGACAAAAGTCAATGTCTTTTTCGGCAAACAAAAAACAATGGACAGTCAAAAACCAATAGTAATCGAGTCAAATACATTGATTACAAATCAATACCTTTTATTTGTAGGCACCTTTCAAATTATTCTGAGAATTAACAATAACCATAAGAATAATAAACCATCAGCATAGGTGCAGGCCTGATGTGGTAATAAGGGGCTTGTTAACATCACTATGTCATGGCTGGTCTTTCTTACCAGACTCTCCAGCCTCTTGGCCACGATAGAGGCAAACCGCTGCTCTCCGGCCAGCTCCGATATGAGGAACACGTACTCTGGAGCAGTGACCTGGTTTGACCTGTGTGTCCTCCCTGTGGGAATACAAAGAGCAGCCAAGGTCAACACGATTCAGTGCGCCGCTATCACCTACTACAGCACGCGTGCAAACCAAGAGTGTGTGTGTACTGACCGAACTGCTGTATAGCTCTGTCTGCACTCCAGGGCAGCTCCAGAGTCATGTGGACCCTCCTTCGCTGGTTTTTAACGCGACGGTCTGCCTGCAAGGAGATACCAGAGCTGGCGGCTTCGGAGATGATGGCAATGTTCTAGTGGGGAAAAAAAAAAAAAGACAAATGAGGTTTACTTCTCGCATTGATACTAAAAAACAGCCAATTTAAAAAGATACTTAATTTTTAAAAGGAAAATCATATATCCAGCAGTATATATTCTATTTCTACAATAATCCGACGCATGTTTTTCCTTTACCTTCTCACCATCCATGAACCTCTGCTTCTCGGTCAGATTGAGGATCTCCACGGGGACGTCCAGCTCGGAGCGAGACTCGTACGAGATGCTGCCGTCATCGTTGCTGACCACGCGACCTTTCCGGCCAGTCATCTAAAAGCATCCAGGAAGCAGACCATTAGGACACACACACACACACACACACACACACACACACACACACACACACACACACACACACACACACACACACACACACACACACACACACACACACACACACACACACACACACACACACACACACTACTTATAACATATTACTGAATAAGAAAGTGGGTTGGTCCTCCGTTAGGAGAGCTGCATTCTCCTTTAATTTATTTACAAAGCCGTCTTGCAGAAATGCCCTCTATACCCAAGTTTCTTGATTAGAGTGAGAGAAAAAAAAAAGTGACCAAATCCATTCTCAGGATTGGATAACACTGAAGATCCCTTCAGTCTCCATTGCATTGCACTCTGCGTTCCTTCTCAAGGTTTCTTCCTTGATAATTAAGGGAGTTTTTTCTTGCCCTTTGGGGGCTAGGGTTAGGCGGGGTACAAAAAATATGGCCTGTAAAGCCCTTCCAGTCTGTAACTGTAGGGTTAAGGGCTATACAATGACTTGACTATTTAGTGTATGAATTATATTATGCATTTGTTTGTAGATATATCTTTTTAATTTTTTTTTTAAAATAAATACTTTTTGTAAATGTGTACAGGGCTCTCTTGTAAAAATGTCTAATCTCAATGAGACTTCCTGTTTAAATAAAGGTAAACTAAAATCATTGCCAACTCTCAAGGAGCGGGTGTCCTCACCTCGGCTACGTTCTCCGGTCCTCCCAGTTCGTCTATAAGCTCGTCCAAAGTGTTGGGAGGAAGGTGCTCCGCTAGCTTCTCCAGGTTCTCCAGAAGGTCCCTCTTCATCTTCTGGGCGTCCTCCACCGCATCCTGGCTCGTTTGGAAGCCGTCCTGGCTCTCCGTTTTGACTGGGGGCAGAGGGGAAAGCTGACGTTAGCACTTGGCAGCGCTTTCATCCAAAGCAACTTTAAGGGCATATATTTCAGATACAGTCATTCATGAGCAGGTAGGGGGTTAGGCATCGGGGATTGAACCCAGAACCTTTTACCTGCAAGTCAAACATGACAACCACTAGACTACCCTTTCCCCTTTCCTTCCCCTTTGCAGTGTGGCAGCAGACGTACCAACGGCGTGTTTGAAAGTGGGGTTGGCAGGGGGGGCTGTGAAAGTGGGCCTGTTCGACCCAAGCCCAGAAGCTAGCAAGGCACTTTGAATGGAATCTGGGTCGATGCACTTTTTCTTCTTCTTGTTCTTCTTCTCCTTCCCCTTCTTTGGTTCTTTTCTGATAAGCCAGGGATCTGAGCAAAGAGGAAGCAATTAGTGACGTTGCTGAACTGTATGCATTATGCTGCTTTACAATAGGCCACATGACAACCAACTAAATTCCTCACCATCTTCCTCATCGTCGTCCGACTCATCTCGGAATGGATTGAAGTCATCATCGTCGTCGGCCGAGCTGACTGATTTGAAACTGTCGTCGCTCTCGCCGTCTTTATCCGAGTTCTCTGATTGGCTGTCGTCCGAGCTGCTTCCTGAAAGTCCACCGTGTATACGGGATTTCTTCTTGATCTGCTTTTTCATCTCTGGACCTAGGAAGGTCATAAACAAAAAAGGGGAAATTAAACACTACCACAACCAATATTGACCAGAAAATGACGCCACCATCAAATTTTGTTTTTAAAGTGCCAGTGAACCCAAAATAGTCTCCATGTTTGCTATGATCTTCAACATCCAACACTATTTTGTCACCGTTACTAAAATAACATCGTAATTCCCCCCCAAAAAAGGGTGTAAAATCCTATGTTTTTGTTTGTGATCGTTGTACGCTACAAAGTCCTGTTCTTTTTGTGACGTCAAAGTGCCTTTTCGGAGACACTGCGACGACCGGACACTGACAGCAAGAGGGTCCGCTAACGCCACGGTGTGTGTGGCTGTGTGGAGCTCCGCCTGGGCAGAGGTTAATCAGGGATGTGATCGGGTGAGCAAAAATAAGCAGGAAAATCTCTTACAACCCATTGCGGCACCTTTTTGGAGGGTGAGGGTGAGTGTATTTCTGCAGCAGCCAGTCTCCACAATTTAAATACTTTATTAGCGCTGGGCCAGTTTGTATTAGCTGTTAATAGCTGAATACGCTTACTGATCCCCGCTTCTAGCAACAAGATCTGTCGGAAAACAAATATGAAGCGAAACAAACAAATGCCCCGTACACCCAGATTTGAGCTCGTCTGCGGTCAGACTTTAGATTAGTAATCTAGACCAGTGGTGGTCAAAACAGTTTTTACTAATGTACTCCCTTAAAGATATTTGTTTAGCTGAATACCCCTTTGACCAGCACAAATCTATCACAAAAACTTCCCACTTCTTGGGATTATCTGAAGTCGGAAAGTACAAATAAAACCCCTCAACTGACCCTGTGACTAATCTTGTCAACAAACAGCGTGCAAGATCACTTGTTTCGTGGCTGACGAGGGCTGTAGATGGCAGTGAAAGTGATAGCCTAATCATTTAGCTCGCTTTTCGAAAATAATTCAAATGCGAAGAACCCCCCCAACACAAAAATATTTGTATTACAGATTTGCATGATTCATGTGGGTCATTATTTTAGGTCAGAAAAACTGGAAGAATCACAACCCCGGTTAATGTTGATGGCCGCGTCCGAGAGAGGGTTAAGCTCCTGGGACACAGTATAGTATAACGACAAGTGTATGGTGCATTTCATAGACAACATCGCTCATTATAAATGCTTATCCTCAATGACTAAGCGACTATCTTAAAAAACAAAGAAAATAAAGTTGGCATGGATCGTGCACCAGCTCCAGCCCACCCCCACCACAGCAGGGGCCTGTGCCTCTCCACAGCTGCCCACCTCCCCCACCACAATGACGATTCTCACCATCCTGGAAAGAGACGTTAAGAGGCTCTTCAAGAGACAGAACCCCTGCAAAGCAGCCGGTTCAGACTGTCTCTCCATCGACCCTGAAGCACTGTGCCGATCAGCTGTAGCACCTTGTGTTGTCCACTTCAAAACCATCACAGACTCCCTCAACCCCCTACAGTTCACCTACAGAGCTAACAGGTCTGTAGACGATGCAGGAAACTTGACCCCGCCCAGCACCTGGACTCTGCAGGAACCTACGCCAGGATCCTGTTTGTGGATTTTAGTTCTGCCTTCAACACTATCATCCCGGCTCTGCTATAGGACAAGTTTCACCCCCCGCATCACCCTATGACTGCCCAGTCGACACTGTGGAGTCTCCCAGGACCTCAAGTGGGAGCTGAACATCAGCTCTCCAACCAAAAAAGCTCAGAGGATGTACTTGTGGCAGCTGAAAAAGTTCAACCTGCCAAAGACAAAGATGGTGCACTTCTACACCGCCATCATCGAGTCCATCCTCACCTCCTGCGTTCACCATCTGGTACGCTGCTGCCACTGCCAAGGCCATACTGCAGTGTGTCATTTGCGCCGCAGAGAAGGTGATTGGCTACAGTCTGCCATCTCTCCAGGACCTGTACGCCTCAAGGACCCCGATGTGCAGGATTTCGGCTGACCCCTCCCACCACGCACAAAAACTGTTTGAAAGATTGCCCTCTGGCAGGAGGCTGCGGCCCATCAAGACCAAAAAACCTCACGCCACAAAAACATCTCATCAACAAGATCCGGGACCCCCACTGACACAGACTCTTAGTTACACTACACCTCCCTACACTACACCTTACATTAACGTAAAGTCTCCACACCCGTTTCAATGTACAAACACATTAACGCACATTTCTCTGGACCATTACTTGCAGATATTGTTATACCTCATACTGTAAACATCTGCACATTCCATGGTCCATATTTTGCACATTCCTGCACAAACTGATGCTCTTTCATAAAAAAACAGACACTACCATAAGAACACAATATGTAAACCATAAAAAATATGTAAACTTTTCCATTTCACATTTACATTTCTTCACCGTGTTTATTGTTGTGCAAAGTTCCTTGTATGTGCTAAACTTACTTGGCAAAAGTACATTCGGATTCTGACCAGAACGTTAGTTAAAATTCTGCCTACCTTTCCTCTTCTTGCCCTTCTGTTCGACCACTTTCTCGGCGGGAGAGGGAGTCTTCTTTGCCGAGAGGTCGATACCCAGCAGACTGAAGAGCTTCTGCCGGTCAGGGGCTGGGAAATGTTTCTCAACCAGGGACTGCAACACACCTCTGCAGAAACCAAAACCAAACATCCACTGTTAGACTCTTTTAAGCGCACCTTTGGCTACTTGTCGTGGTCTCAGTGAGCTCTTACTTTGCGGTGGAAACAAAGTCATTGAGCTCCCCTCCTCCTTCCTCCAAGGCCTCCAGTGTTCGTGCTTCCCCCGTTGATTGTAGACCAATCACAACGCACTGAGGGGGGGGGGGGGGGAAATATCTCGTTGGCAACTGAGATTAAGCAACAAGCATTTACCATTCAGGCATTTAACGGAAGCTAAATGGCAGGTTAGTCATTTTTTTTAATATTTGCTCAAGGATCTCTAAAGATAGACAGCAGCCAATGGGGTTTGAACGCAGCACCTTCCGGGAGTCCAACACAAACCCACCAAACCATCCTGCCACCTATATGGCAATAAATAAAAACCCAGTAAAACGTTGGAGCCACCTTTCCGTTGTGGACCTCTTCTCTGGCCAGCTGGACCACTCTGCGGACCTTGGAGGCGATGCAGAGGTACTTGAAGAAGCGCTGGTGGGCCGACCAGAACTGACCCCACATGGACTTCTTCATGCGCTGCTCAGCCTCCATGAGGTTGGCAGCCTGCTGGAACTTCTCACGTGCGCTCACCCACTGGAGAAAACAACACAACCACTTGATGGTGCCACTTTTACCAACAGCTTCTCAAAGCTGGGATATTTAAGACGATTACAGAACATGAAATGTTCATTCAAATAAGTTTTGTTAGTTTTGCCTCATTTGTTTTCTTTGAATAGATTTAACCGTTTTTTTCTCTTTCACAATTTCATTCAATGTCCTTTAAAATTTGCATAATTTGCAAAAAAAAGCAAGAAAAGATTAAATTATTAATCAAGCTATAAAGACAAATGAGAACAAGATGCTTACCAGGCGCACAGACTTGTTGTACATCTTGATGTACTGCTGCGTTAGCGGTACCTCCTCGATTTTGAAAGTCACACCCGTAAAACTCAGTTGCCTGGCGATGTACATCCCCCTCAGTTTCATATCCATGGCAACTATTTCCATAGCACCAACACCTCTGAAAAAAGGGAAAAAAAGAAGTAGGAACACAGTTTTAAAAAGGGATATTTGCTGTGGAATAAGAAAAAAACAACAGAGTCAACAGATTCTGTAACAGATTCTAATGTAAATGGGTAAACTATTTGTACCTGCGCTCAACAGCTTGGATGAAGTTGCTAAACTCTCTGAATGGAGTTCCCTCTCCCCAGATGCCCAGGCGGTTCATGTAGGCCATGTTCCTGGGTTCAGAGGCACCTAGACAAAAACAAAATGACAATTTAAAATAACTAAATATTCCATATATTACCATTCAGTCTTTTTTTTTAGCAGATACTTTAGACTAGACTTGATTTTGGGGAAGGGATGAAGGGGGAGGACTATTACTTGCTATTACTTGCATTGACCATTACTTGCTATTACTCAATTACTTGCATTGATTTCAGCGAACTCAGATACATGCCATCGATGAGCATGTAGCTGTTAGGCATCTTGCTCAAGGATGCCTAAAGGTAGGCTACAGACATTGGGAGTTCGAACACCGAACATGGGAGTCAACCACCCCAACCCACTAGACTACCCTGCATCAATAGGATACAGTGAATGTCTAGGACTCCATGGAGACTTACCTGTGGCACTGGCGTACACGACGCGAGCTTTGGGGAGTTTGTTCTGCAGCTCCTGAACGGCGAGGCCCGTCTTCGTCGGTTTGGACGATCCAACTGGACAAACATTTTTGGCTTTGTGACACTCGTCATAGACAATCTTAATACGTCGGTTAAAGAAATTCAGGAAATTCTAATGCAGAAAAGAACCATTAGAGAACAATTACAAAAATGCATACTTTTATGTTGATGG